CCCCAATTTTTCAGCAAAAGGGGCTTAGCCCCCCCCCCAATGTTTACATGCTAAGTCATGCTTTTTAATGTTGAGCCCCCCCAACTTTTGAATCATTCCTACGCCTATGTATATGATTTTATGGTTGCATAAAATGCTTTATTAGTAATTTTGTCAGGCTAGAATTGCTAATTCTATAATTTTCCTATTTCATTTCTGTATTGAGCATCATTATTAAAGATACAACAAAATAATGACGAGAGTCGGTGCTATTGTTCCTTTCAGTGGCTTGGTCATTTTGTGCTGAAATATTGAAATAGTACCAGGCTTGTAGCACTGACTTAACATGACTTGCTGTATGACCTATATGACAAAATCGTCTAACTATTATTAAAGTTAAATAGCCTAATTTCATTGAAAGTGGGTGTGGTCACAATGAAATAAAATGGTAGCTATCACTCTTTTGCAGCAAAGACAAAACTCCTGTCCAAAAACTTCTATAGCATTCTAGCAGCAAGAAAGGTCATTACAGCACAACAATAGCATGGCTTGGGGGCTGAGCCCCTTTAAATGTTTTACATTTTTCTCTACAACCATGTATAGTCTAATGTTAGGGTTTAGGATTGAGTACACGGTAGTAGTATGAACAAATTTAATAGTAATAGCAAACGAAGTACAAAAGATCTATGAACAATATGGTCAATACCAATTACACAGACAATTCACGAAGTGGTTCTTTCTCATCTGTTTCTTTAACATGACCTCCTTGTTCAGACGTCCCTGGAAATTCCTTATCTGAACTGTCTTTATAAAATCAGCATCAGTAGATTGATTGACAATCATCTGATATTGGGAACTTGGCACTTGCATTGCAGGAAAAGAACTGTTAATTTGTTGATCTATCTTTCTTTAAATCAGTCCTCACACACCATGCAAGTACTGCACATCTGTATAATTAACACAAATATTTTTATAGCTATTATAGTGTAAATTAAAACTTACCCAACAACAGATACCAAAACTATAATAAGAACAGCAAGAAGGACAATGACAACTCCAATAGGACCTAGGAAGGAACTGAGAATTATTTCATGCATTTGTTGATACACTATCACTACCACTTGAAGATAAAACACTGTTGATGATAGCTGATACACTATGACATCCTGCGCTGGTATATAGTAGGTGATTTAATAGTAGAACAAAACGATTTACTGTTAAGTGCAAATAATACACTGGCAGTAGTAGATGATACACCGTTAATGGTGGTAGAGAATATACTGCTACTGATCATACAGCTAGAAGATGATACTCTACTAGTCAACACACTGCTAGAACTAGGTCTTATCCTGCTACTAGAAACTCTGGTTGTAGTACTACTGCTGTTAATATAGTTTATAGTAACAGTTATGCTTGAACTTGAAGGAGAGGCAAATGATGCCTGCTGACTGACTGTTTCTAACTCTCGAAAGAGAATGACTGAGTTACTTTCCAACAGCTTGAGAATGATTTTTCATCTCCATGACAGAGAGTAGCTATAATGTATTGGATTGTCCAGTTTACCAAACTATGAGGCAACTGAGCCTAAGAAAAAAATACATAAAAAGAATAAGTGATACCTTTTGTGTTTAATCATACAATTCTGAGGCATGTACATGTACACATATATGCATCAGAAAAATTATAAAATGGAGAATTCTCTCCTAACCATTAATTTTTGACAAAATTTGATCTTTTTACCAAAGGCTACAAAGCGGTATATATAGCCTTTGGTCGTTGGCCTAATTTTGAGTAATTTCAAAAATTCATTAAAAATCCAAATTTGACTGAAATCAGCTCAAAGTTGATACAACATGTATATGTATCAGAAAAAAATATAAAAAACACAAAAATTCTTTTCTTGTAATTTTTGTCAAATAACATAAAACAAATTAATTTAAAACAAATAGGTCCTTGTTCTCACCTGTTGAAGCTCCCCAGTACAACAGTCTGTCCACTAGGAGATGTAGCTGAACACATAAACTCTTTCTCATCTTCTTCCTTTGAATAGTCAAACTGTTGGATAGGCTTACCTACGTACAGTATAATAATAATCATACTACATGTACATGTTATACATGCATGCACATGTACATGTGTATAACTCTCCTATCACATCCAGCAGCAACAATACTAGTCAATGACCAGGAGAGAGCATAAGAACAACTGTGCTTACAAACTGGGCCCTACCAATAAAACATACCGTATAGGGGTTTTATTTTGTTGGTATAAAATTTCACGAATTTGTCCAGATTTGCCATTTGTTGGCATAAATTTTCGTGAATCCTACCTTCTGCAGCCATTTTTACTAGTGTCCCACACCTCTTTTGTGGAATTTAATTTCGCAAATTTAATGAAAACGCGAAATTCACGAAATTTATTTCCAGTGAAATATAACCCCTATACGGTATTTTAATACAACTACAAATACATGTACATTCCCATAATTAGCATACAGTATACAATAAAAAGCATTGAGGCTATAAAACACATACACAGTATAATCTACATGTACATGTGACATTACATATGTACATGCGGATTCCCTGATTTGAATTGGGTACATGACATGTACTCGTGTATAATGAATTGAACTATAATTTGTCAATAACGATGTACACATTATCCTACCTTGCTCAGTTCACTGTCATTATCAAAAGTGTATCTCACTATAGTACCATCAGCATGACCACACAATATACCTTGACCTGAAGGACTGAAATTAAACAAACATTAAGTATGATTATGCTACATGCATGTCTACATGTACATGCCTATATTCAACCTTCAATGTACATGTAACAAGTTTTCAGACATGTTTTATGCATGTTTCCATTTTTATGTAACAGAACAAGATTAAAATATTCATGTATACATGTATCATCACGTTACATGAAACATGCATGTTTGTTTCAGTTGACACTTAAAGCATATTTATTGTACATGCATATAAATAAGTATATGACAGTCAAACCTTGAAGTGAGTGATACCACATAAGATTCTGATGAATAAATGGTCTGTGACTTGCTTCCCTTTACATTACCAAGCTTCACTTTACCATCAGCTAAACCAAATATAAAGGTTGGCTGCTGTACAGGCCATATAAGGGTAGTGACAGCACTCTGTGGTAGAGAGAGAGAGAGAGAAAGGGGGAGAGAGAGGGAAAGAGAGGGGGGAGAGAGGGAGAGAGAGGGGGGAGAGAGGGGAGAGAGGGGGGAGAGAGAGAGAGAGAGAGGAGGAGGAGAGAGAGGGGGGGGGAATGGATAATAAGAGGAAGATTAAAAAGAGAAAATGTATGGCATTAGAAATTTATAATTTAGAGAAAAGGGTATATTGCACATGTAAACGTATATACATGTAGGAAAAGGGTCTTACTTGCAATATGATTTTGTTGCATATGACTTTCTTATCTCCCCTGTAGGTATAGATCAAAAATAAACATACACAGTACATGTACATGTACAGAATGCATTTAAACTTAAAGTCAAAGCATTTTACAAGTACATACATGTACACATACATTATACTGCATGTAGTACATTCACATTTCATAAAGGAGTAAAAAATAAAGACATTACCCCACCTACCATTGCTCTCCTATCTTATAGACGAATATGATATTGTCAGACTGTCCAACAACAATCTTAGTGGAGTCTGGTGAGAATACTAGACCAGTAACCTGATAACACTTCTTACCTAACTGTATAATAATAACAAGAAGGAAAATATTAAATACAACCATACAAATAAATAAACAAAATACATCATGAAAATATTATAATACATTCAATTATTATTATTATATAAACATTATTTTAAAAGTGCATATTTTTATTATATACATGTACCACTTTTCAAATGTTAAAAAGGCCCCACAAAAAATATTTCAGAACCTGGGTAAGAGTGAAGGCATCACATAATTATTAATCGATTAATTAAAAGTCTTTGTCTTACGTCAGGGTTGGCAGGCTTTGTTGAAAACTTAGTCTCTCTTCTCCCCATGCTCATCAAAAAGGAGTACAATCCTATACACAGTACACACTGCTAGTTTGCTGTTGTTAGGAGC